TCGAGTCGAGTCGAGTCGAGTCGAGTCGAAACGCGGCGCGGCGCGACAGATTGGCGAGGCATGAGGGTGCAGCGCAATGCAGCTCAGCAGCCGTGACTCTCTCTCTCTTCCTTTCTCTCTCCCTCTCATCGCGCTGCGCTGCCTCTCTCTTTTTGGCGGCTCAGCCTGGAGGGCGCGCATCACGTTTGGCTGGAATTCGAAATCTAAATCTCGCGCCCACCAACGCTGTCTCTCCCTCTCTCCCCCACTTCCCGCTCAACGCTCAAGCCTGCTGCGTTGCTGCGCAGCTGCAGTGCTGCGACACTGCTACGCCCGAGTCGATGGAGAAATGACTGATGTGCAGGGCAACCCCGGCCAGAGCGACCAAAGTGAGGCTCGTTCTTCGGCGCATCCGACTGCGGTTGCGACAGCGTTCGGATGCACCTTGGCGCTCATTGCACGCAGAACGCAGCAGGCCAGCCAATTTTGGAGCCTCAATTTAGCAGCTTCGTTTCCAGCGCTCACCATGAAAATTGTGATTGACTCTGCATCGCTAGACCGCGTGGGAAAGGCACACCTCGGATTCGGTAGCCATCCGAAGCCTCCGCTTGAGATCTTTCTGACCCACCCGCACCTGCCCAATTCCGGCCCGGATGTTCCGCGGCGTTGGCCACCGCGGCTCTCACCGTCAGTCACCTCGGTCACCTCATGCACCCGCGCAGTCACACAAGCCAAGCCAAGCCGTGCAGGCCGTGCGAAGCGTCGTGAGATTCCATCGGCTGAGCCGCCGCCGCCGCCATCTCGGCATGAATGCAAGATCGAGGCGCTCCATCTGTCAACGCCTCGCTTTTTTTTTTCTCGGCAACTGCCTTCCGCGGCCATCCCTCCACACCCGTCCCGGGGCTCATCACGCGTGGGATCGATTCGCAGATCCATTCGGCTCATCCGTCCTCGACGCCATCTCCGCTCCGTCCACGATCACCGTGACAGCGACCGAGCTCGGCCGTCACCACATCCCATGCCTCACGACGCTGCTCCATCCAGCTCGGCCTCTCGTATGCCCGCGCTCGCCACCTCGGCCGGTCCATCGAGCGCTGCGTCGCCCTCCTCGCCTTCCACGCCCTCCAACCACGCTGCGCAGCCCGTCAAGCGTCGCAGATACGCACGTCGCTCGTGCCTCAACTGCCGATCCAAAAAGGCTCGATGCGAACTGCCAGACGAACTCGTCGCCTCCTCCCACGATCCATTGCCCGTCTACAAGGCCTGCCATCGGTGCCGCGCACTTGACATCGCCTGCGTCGTCTGGGATGGTGACCGTAAGCGAAAACCACGCCTAGGGCCCTCGTCCACCTCCTCGTCCACAGCACAATCGGCGAACCATTCGCCACTCCTCTCCGTCGGCGCCAATGGCCCCACCGACCTGCTCTCAAATCAACACAAGGACTCGCGTCGTGGCGATCCCAGCGACTCGCAAGATGCTGCTGCCAGCCGCATGCGCGATCCATACGACGATCTCGTCTCCAACGGCTCCCCTCCTTCGCGCCGTCACAACCGCTCCGACTCTTTCATTAGCCTCTCCCGCGACGATACGTATGCCCAGCAGCCTTCCGCCTCGCACACTTCGCTTTTAGCGCAGTCCAAAGCTTTGCGCGCGCATCAACGCACAGCATCCAGCGCTTCCTCCGTCGACCCCGCAAACACGCGCTACGATGCCGCCCTCTTCTCCGGGCCCATAGAAGGCTCAAAGTGCATCGTCATCGATCGCGAGATACAGATCCTCACCAACCGCTTCATGCACTCGCCCCTCGTCACCCTCAACCGCTTCATCACAAAGATCCCCTCCTTCTCCCGCCTCCTCCGTCCAGACACCGATCGCTCCTTCGACGGCAACCTCTCCGACCTCCTCACCGACGAAAACATCCTCGAGCTACAGCCCCACATCCCCCTCCTCCGCATGTGGCATCCGCACATCCCCGACCTCACCCAGCTTCGCTCCACCTACCGCGAATCCCACCAATCTCTCGCCACCTCGCTGCTCCTCGCCACCGTCTGCCTCGTCGCTTCCAAGATCGCAGGCCGCCGTCACCTCGCAAAGCACTTTGCCATCCATGTAGACCGTCTCGGCCTCCAGGCGCTCGTCGCCGCTCCCAAGCACATCCACGCCGCGCAGGCGTTCGAGCTCCTCCTCGCCCACGACCCTTCTCTCATCGGCGCCAGCTTCGACTCCGCTTCCATCCCCAGCACCCAATCGGCCGTCTTTGGCGAGTCGCTCCACTCGAGCGCGCTCTCCATCGCAGAGGCCATCGGCCTTGACCTCGTCATGTCGCAATCCCAGCACCACCACAACGCCGCCGCCGCCAACAACCAGGCCAATGGCGCACATTCGCACACCGACGACTCTTCGCTCCGCTGGCAGCTGCAGCGCTTCTCGCTCTGGTGCAGCCTCTCGCTATGGCGCGCCACCTTTGTCTTCCTCAACTCCACCATCCGTGCACTAGACTTTTCGCAACTCAGCCGCGACGCCCAACTCGCCATCGCCTTGGTGGATCAGCTCAAACCGCCTCGCACACCCTCGTCGCACGACGACCCGACCAACGAGACGCTCTTCAAAGCAGGCATCCTCGCCCTTGCCTACCGCGCCATCCACGTCGCCGAATTCAACACGCGCATGGCGCACATCGAGACCTTCTGGCACAACCGCTCCGTCTTCTCCACCGCAGACATCCGCCACGAGGTGCACAGCCGCATCAAGCACAACATCAACGCGGACGAAGAGCTCAAAAAGGAAAAGCGTCGCCGGCTCTGGAGCCTGGCCAACCTGCCCGAGCTCAGGCTGCTCGATCGCTGGATCGACCTGCACATCGAGTCCAACTGGACCATCATGCAGCAGCTCTACATGCGCAGCGTCTTTCCGGACTGCGGTCCCGGCGACACGCTCTTGGACTTGGCGCGCGTCATCCTGGACGATCCGGGCCTGTTTCGGTTTTGTTCCGAAGCGAGCCAGGCGACCTATCTGCGTGCCGAAGGCGTGCTGGCCGGCGTGGCAGCCTCGCCTCGATTCGAAGCCCAGCGGCTCGAGCAGACGGGCCTGCCGCTGCTGCTCACGTGCGGCTTTATCCTCCACATCACCATCTCGCTCATGGAGGCGCTCAACTACGTGCAGTACGGTCTGAGTGAGGTGGCGCTGCGCGAAGACATGTTTGCGCTCATCCTCGCCCGGCTTGCAGAGCGGCTGGTGGCGCCCAAGGAGGCCGAGCACGAGAGTCTCGAGAGGCTCGTTTCGGGTCTGCTCGTGCAGATGTCGCGCCGGCTGAGCGATTCCGAGTATCTGCGCGTGACGCGCAGCGCTGCATCCGAGTGGCGCCCTGACGCAACGCAGCAGCCGGTGTCGGTGGATGCATGCAGCGTGGGTAGCGTGGGCAGCCATGGGGAGGCGGTCCGAAACGATGGCGCGCAGCCCAACGCGGTGAATGGTGGAATCGCCAGCCTGGCGGCGATACCGGTGAGCTGGCTGCCGACATCGCAGGCGGCGCTGCCACAGACGCAGTTGGGCCATTTGGGCTCGGCAGCGGCATCCACGGACCCGCTCGCAGCCAGCGCGGCGTCGTTGCTGGGCACGGCTGACGCCATGTCGGCAGAAAACATGGCGCACATTATGGACCAGATCCTCAACTGGGATGCCAAGCCCAACGCCGCGGTAGCACAGCACGGCCGTTAGTGAAACAGAGTAGCTGGCCGCGACTTTGGCCAATGCCACGATGGGCGCTGTCGATTCCGATAGCATCGTGAACGGCAGTATGGTTGTTGGCCGATAGCGAGCGTGTGGGTGGCGATTGTGGGAGTGCGGATCTAGACGCGGTGAAAATCGTGGAAATTGTCCGGAACGGCCGACGGATGCAACGTGGCTTGGGCTTGTTGTGGCGAGGCGCGCTCGGAGATGGTGCATGCGCTAAGGGGGCGGAGTATGAAGCTTGGTGGGGTGTTGCTAAATTACTGTGAGAGCGGCGCTAGGGAAAGGTTGCGAGACCATTCTGGTTTCAGGTTGTCAAGTTTCTTGATGCTCGGCCCATGTCGGTAAGCTCAAAGTGGCGCTTGGCGTATGGTTTGGAGACAACGTAGACTGGGGGGAGGGGGCATTGGGTAAGAATTGATGGCTAGCATGGATTGCTAGGGAAGCAAGGGGATGGATGTGCTGTCGTGAATACGGAGAGCGTCCTTGCACAAATTGATTGCCTCGGCAAGATGCAGCGTGCAGCTGATATGCCCGAGCGCGTTTGCGTCCTCCTACTCCCCCTCTACCCCCATCCGTTCCGCTGTTCTCGGTGATTATGCGGTGCACGAGCAGCAGGAATCGAGATGGCGCTCCGTTGTCGGTTCAGTGTCCTGGCCGGTACAGTGCCCGCCCGGGTCCTTGTTGTTGTACAGCTGTCAACATGCCGGCGAGGTGAGAGTGAGAAAGACACTTAAACACCGGCCGTGGCCGCTGGTGTGTAGATTGAGCACCCACCATCACAGCACCTTTCAGCAAGTCGTGTAGGATGAAGTACCTACTTGTGGTGGTAGCCCTGCTGCTTTGCGTCGAGGTGGGCGCGGTGACGAATCCGGTCATGTGGATTCTGGTGCACCACTCTCTCAAAGCGGCACGTGAAGATCCGATCGTCAGTCCGGGGCAGCTATCGTCGCACGCACACTCGTTCGTAGGTGCCAACGGGGTGTCTGCCACCACGACCACCGCTTCGTCTCTCGAAGAAGCGTCGACGTGCACCACTGCGGGACTGACGGCCGACATGTCGGCGTACTGGGCGCCCTCGCTCTACTCGTACAATGCGGACAACGATACGTTCACGCCACGCACGCTGGACTATGTCAATACCTACTACCTCGGACGCGGCAGTGCACCGCTCGTAGCCTTCCCGCGTGGACTGCAGATGCTAGCCGGCAATGCGACGCGTCGAGGAGCCGGACCAACGCAACAAGCCGACGATGCGGTCTCGTTCGTCTGCCTCAACTATGCCGATGGAAGCTCGCAGAGCCCAACGCTGCCGGAGCGATCGTGTCCACAGGGTCTGCGGACGCAGGTGATCTTTCCGTCGTGCTGGAACGGGCAGGATCTGGTCTCGAAGAGCCACTCGCATGTGGTGTATCCGCTGGGGGATATCTCGCAGGGCAGCTGCCCCGACTCGAACCCAATCCGACTGCCCACGCTGTTCTACGAGTTTGTCTGGGGCGTCGGCTCGACCAACAACGCGGGCAATTCGAGCTGGGTGCTGAGCAACGGCGATGCGATCGGATACTCGTTCCACGCCGACTTTATCTCGGCGTGGGACGAGAGTATTCTACAGCAGGCGCTCGACGAGTGCCGAGGTGCGCTGTTCAACGATCTCGAGTCGTGTCCGCCGCTGGCAAAGACGCTGGATCGCAAAAAGTCGCAGGCGTGCAGCGCGCAGTCGAGCGAGGCGACGAGTGGCAACATCGAGTCGCTGCCCGGCTGCAATGTCGTCTGGAACGGTCCCCATGCGGGCAAAGGGCTGGCGGAAGGATGCGACGCCAACAAGCTCATGCTCAAGCCTGCCAGCTGGCCTGCGAGCAGCAGCACCTCGGCGGCGTCATCGGCTGCGTCAGCGGCAGCGACATCGGCATCGGCGGCGCAAACACAGAAGCCCAGCCAGGCTGTCGTCGCAGCAGCGAGCCAGAGCGCAAAGACGAGCGCAACTCCCAAAGTGCTGCCCAAGCCAACCTCCAAGTCGAAGCCCAAACCAAAGCCAAACCCAAAGCCAAACCCAAAGCCAGTCAAAAAGCCAAAGAACAAGAAACCGAGCAAAAAGCCGCTCGCCAAGTCCCAAACGCGCAAACCCAAGAACCGGCACTAGAGCCCAGAGCCGCCGCAACGTCGATGTTCTCAATCGGATGCTCCGGTGTGTGACTGTGTGATGTTGAGAAAGTGAGAGCGAGGGAGAGGCTCGGCAGCGCATGTTTTTCGGCACGTTCCGAGCCGCAGGGGTGGAGCATTGCGGAGCATTGCGGGAGGCGCCGCCGGAAAGGGTGCGCTCGAACTTTTCGACTTTGCTGCCGGCGGGGCAAAACAGCAGCAGTGCATGCATGTCAGCAGGCTGCATTTCACACATGAGCTGATTTCGCACCCTCCCTTTCGGCCCTCGACGCTTCGGATCACATGCGCCATCTTGCCCTCTCCCAACCATCACACCGAGCGTGACGATCGAGATTCAGGAGATTCAGGGCGCAGCTGATCATGCCGATGAGCCTGCCGTCACACCGCCAACTCGTCCGATCACAGCGTATGGCTTCGTCATCACCGACGTCCAAAATGCAAACACCACCACCACCACCACCACCACCACCAA